CCTGTCTCGTTCCCCAGAGCTTCCTACTGGGTTGGCAGCGCACCCGGGTGGGAAAGGGCCTTCAGAACCCATGGAGAGTTCCCCGGCCCATGTTTCCCAAAACCTGAACTTTCTGGGGACTCTCAGGTCTTTCTCAGAGGTCATGAGACCCATTGCTGGTTAGCCTTGAGGTCACTAGGCTGATGACATGGGAAATGTCTTCCCTAGCCTCATAGCCCAGTCCCCCATCACTAAGAGAAGCCCGCTCTGCCTTGGACCAGAAATCCAGCGATACAACCACCTGTGCTGCAGGGGCCCATCCACGTAGCCCAGGTAGACAGGAGGGATTTGGATCTCAGGGAGCTGGAGATAGGTGCACTCTGCATGGGAAGAAGGTGGATAAGGGAGTGGTTGAAGGGAGTAACGGTGAGTCGGGGATCAGAAAGTTAGAATCCCAAGACAGGTCTACAGTGGGCTCTTGTACCCCTTTAAAACACTCGGTCTTGTGGGTAAAAAGCCCTACTGACCTCCTCTGTTCCTAGGGTCCTATAAGAATTGAAGCTGCGTGAGAGCCAAGTCTCCCCTTTCTTGGCCACTGCGGTGTCTCCACCACCGTGGGTAGCACTTGAGTAGCACCTGCTGTTGATGCCCCGATGGAGCAACAGTGCTGGTGCACGGACGTCATTCAGAAAGATCGAAACCAAAACGCACTCTCGGCGAGCCAATTCCAACTCAGGAATGACGGCCTTGGGTGCCCAGACGTTATTTGGAAAGATCAAAACCTAAAGCCATTCTCACCGAGTTCATCCCAACTCATGGGGTTCCTGAGCGAGAAATCTTGATGGGAGCAGGCAGCCTCCTCTTTCTCCCTGGGCTGGTGGGTGTGAACTCGTGACCTTGTAGTTAGAAGCTCCACACCTAACCCACAGAGGTGGTGTTCATTTCGATAGGGCACAGGAGGGCCACCTGGTTGCCAAGACCCAACCCTCTCCCTTGGCCACTCCAAGACTGGAGCCATGTACAAGCTGTGCAGGCACCATCACCTGGTAGGGACTTGGAGGGTGAGCGGCTGCTGCTGCAGTGGCAGCTGACTGCTGGCTTCTTCTCCCTGAGTGACCCTGCCCAGACCTGCCCGCCCTCCAGCAGGACGAGTGTCTGAAGCCACCACGTAATCCCTGCTCCAGATGAAACACAGGTTTAATACGAGACTGGAGAGAAGTATTGATTCTTGCTGGACATCAAGGAGTCAGCAGCATCCCCACAGCCCAGAGCTCCCTGGATCCAGCCAGCTCCCCACTTGTTCTTCTCCATCGTCTCCTCCTCCCAAATAAACACCCTCTTTTGGATTCTGTTGGGCCTAGGAAGTTCAGGGACTTCAGGAACATAGAAAAAGAGACAGACTATTGAAGAAGAAAGAATGCCTTGCCTATTTTTCTTTTTTGCTCCGCTCAGCGTCAATTGGTAATGACTTTCACTGTAGAATAACCACCTTCTCTTGCAAACCCACTATTAGTCGGCTCTTTGCAGAAAAGGAT